GGCTTAAACCCCTGATTTAAACCTGACGACTTTGTAGCTCTTCTACAGTGTGTGGGAGAATTAAACAAACCCATCCGTTGCAATCAATTAAAAAAAAAAAAAGCAAACTGTGTGTGGGAGGAATGTGAGGAAAGAGTTAAAGTTAAACTGAATAAGGAGAGAGAGAGGTGGAGCCATTCAGAAGCCAAGCAAGAGAATGAAAGCAAAGTGAGTGTACACAAGAAGCTGTCAGACACACGGCTCATCATTAGATTCAGTGTTGCTGAAATTTAAAAAGCTTTTACCTAAATGTCGAGCAGCTCACCTGCGCGTCTGAGCGCTGCGTCGTCCTCTGCAGTCCCGTCTGCCAACAGCTCTGGGACTCCAAACTTCCTCTTTAAATACTCCACAGATTCATTTCACTTTCACTTCTCCTGAGGGCAAAACTCCTCCTTTCCTTCCTTTATCCACTCCCACTGCCCCAACTCGCCTCTCGCCCTCCGCACAGAGACGGCAGCTGGTTTTCTTTATTTAAAATGCATTCTAGGCAAACAAAAAACACCCACAATTGGTGTAAAAGTTCACTTTTATGTGCCTTTTCTGTTTAAAATTGTTGTACAGTAAGCACAACCTCAGTGTATTTAAACTTTAACTGATTCAAATGCTTTCATTTATCATTAAACAGCCATATGTTTTATACAATGTTTTATTGTCTGTAGTACATATAAGTGACACACGATCAGTTTTTATGACTTAAATACATTTATTTTCATTTTCATTCTCCTGTAGTGACTGTAAATTAACATATTTTTATATTTTATAAAGGATCAGATTATTCAGATTAAAAAATACAAGTTTAAATGCATGTAGGTTTTAGTAGCTGATGTAATTTTTAAAAAGTCAGATTCATATCTTTCAAACAAATTAACTTTATTTTCAGTGAAAACACTTCTATGGTGCTTAAAAAAAATAAAACTGGAAAAATCTGGATTATCCAGGACCAGAAGATATTCTACTTTTTCCCTTTTTTTTTTTAATGCTGTGAGCATAACACAAGAAACGTTATTCTCCTTCACTTTGTTTTGGTGGATGGTTAAATCTCCACAACTTAAACCTACTCAGTCCTGTTTGGGTTAACAAATAGGGCATAAGAGTGTCGTAAATAAGTAAAGGTGCATTTTTAATTTAATCTCATGAACTGTTGTTGTAGATCAGGTTTTAACACCACGCACAGATAATCAAACATCATTTGTAAAATAATTATTGGACTCCTTTTTTTTTTTTTCAGATTTTATACAATAAAACAACATCTGATTGAAATTATACTCAATTGTTTCCACTGCAAGAGAATGCAGTGTGTATTATATTATATATCATTTTCACACTGAAAATAGGGTAAGGAAATGAATCAGTCACTTTAAAAAAACCCAGTCATAATTAGAATCTGAAACACAATATGAGAGATATAGTTCTTTACGTGACTCATTTCCTTACCTTACTTAAATGATATATAGTTTAACCAATATGTAACCATTAAACATGTCAACTGTATACCCATTTGTTTATTCCAAAGACTACATAAAATGCATTATTAGTTTTCTACAGCTATGAGTAGCCGTAGTAATGACTTAATACTCATAATAGTAGTGACAACAAAGGTGGTGTTAATTGTAACTATTAAAATGGGCTAAAATCAGTTAATTTGGAAAGTTTAATATTGCATTGTAATATCGTAACCATTGTTTTATCTGTGTATGGTTTGGGTATGTCTCACAATGTCGGTAGAATGCTGCTGAAAAGGATGTAACATGAACATACAAATAAGCTTAACCCTTTCAAACGTGTTCTCATCTGAAGGTTTCTTGTAACCAGAGTGAGCCTTTGTACCCGACGACGGTCACTCAGCATTAAAGGAGGCATTGTGGGAGTTGTATCGCCTATTTTTACAATTATTTTGGAAAAAATGAAAACCTTAAACAAAAAAAAAAGCCTCTGCCATAACCACTGCACCCTTACCAGAAGTAGTAGAAGTCACAGAAGTGACTTTAAGTACAAATGGTGGCTTTATTTCACAGATCGGGGTTCGGTTTCACATGTAAAACCTTCATCTATCCATTGTACTAATTGAGGCATGTAAACTGACTCTTTCCTGTGTGTTAATTACAAACGTCTGCGTGCGACATGATGGATGAACCGAGGGCAGGTGTGACCAACAGAGTGTGACTGGACAACTCCCATCAGACAGTCTGCGTTTCAGCCTGGAAAGTCCGGGAGATTCAGAGGAATACCTGATGCTCTCTGGAGACCTTCAGCAGATAGGAAGATGTGGAGGTAGGCGGAGAAAGGGTGGTGGCTTTCTATGTGATGGTGGAAACCACGGTCCTCGAAGCAAGATTGGACTGAGTGGCAACAAACAGAGCTTCTCTGGAAACTCTAGGTGGGCAGATCCATCCAAATGTTAACACTATACCCGCACAGATGGAAAAGAGTATTGATCTGATACTAAGTTCACTGAATTGTGTTAAACTATTTTATTAAAAGGATTTAGTGGTCATTAAAATGTGTTCAGAATTTGCAAATTGAGGATTTCTTAAATTATGACACACTGCTCTCCCCTAAATAAGCTGTGTTTACAGGTTAAAGTATCAGTACCTGTGTTTATATCGGCAATACTGGCCCTGTATTTGATAGGTATCAGATTGATACCAGAATTTGCAGAATCACACAGGACTACTGGAAACCAAAATAAATGTCATGATGCTTTGGTGTGTGTGTGTTCTCCTTAACTTTACAGCATGTACAGATTGATTAATATTCTGTCCTGATGGAAAATGCAAAGAATTACTTTGAAAGGCTTTTAACTGTTTGATACATTAAGTTTTGAAGTTGGATGTTTAGTTCCAGTTCTTCAATGCAACCTACTCAGGTCAGCTAAGTATATAAATGTACACATTTTAAACAATTCTTCAAATCAGATTGAAAAAGAATATTTCGTATAGACCCCTTTGACCTCTTTATCAAACATAAAATTAGAAATTAATCTAAAACAAGCCTGTTTTTAAAGTCTGACTTAAATGGAGTAAATTGAGTGGATGATGATATAAAGTGTGTAGAAACTGGCACACAGATGGCCGTCAGCTCTCGCTACTAACGAAGTTGAAATGAATGGGTCGGCTTCACTGCTTCCCTACATTAGATGAACAGAAACTAAATGGTCGGTTTAGAACAGACAGTTTCTCATCTACAAGCTGCAGCACATCCTTTTCTTTTCTCTTCCCTCAGGTAACATGAGAACATGCAGGGCACAAGTTACTAGATAAGGATTCTTTAAAGTTTTAGCAAAGTTGTTCAATTAAACAAAAACAGACCACAGCCACTTATGAAAAACATGCTTTATTACTGGACATTTTTCATCTTGAAATGGACACAGCAGGGTTCAAATACTTTGAAATAACATGAAAAGCACTGGATATTTTCATGACACAATCACCCGTGCACTTATTGAAATGCTTTAATTCAGTCCTTCACATTTAAAACAGACTATGCATAGATGACACCGGCAGGAAGACTAATGGATCACTGGAAGAGTGGAGTTTGAGAGAGGTTGATCTTTACAGACTACTCTAATGAGAAGTGTGGGTGTGCGTCAAATACAGCTATCAGATGATCTGGCAAGTAGTGTTTTTGCATAATGTCTGTTGGAAGGATTCTCCATCAGAAGACAAGCTTCTCCTTAAAAGAGACGTTTCTCGTAACTGTGGGAGAAAGAGTATGAGAAGAAAAGATCACACGACTTATCCACGATACTCCCTGAGGTTTCCTGTTAAGACAGACACAGCAGTAGCCTGATTACAGGCGCTAAAGAGGAAGTTTAACTGAAGGCTTGTGTGGTTGTGGTAAGACATGAAACTAGGAAATTTGAAGACCATGAAATATGAAACTGAGGAAAACCCATGTCTGTGTGCGTGTGTACCTGTGCAAGCTGTGGACTCCGCCTTCTTTCTGAGCTGATGTTGTTCTCTTTTCAAATTTCAGGTCTCCAGAGTACATCATGGCTCTGGAGAAGGAAAAAAGAAAACAGCTGTTAGATGACAGCAGAAATGGTGAGAAATTAAGTACAATATAAAACTTAAGGAAATAAGAATAAAGCTGGACATCAAATTTCTGTGAAATACAAGATAATGGTCAAGCTATAGAACTTGTAATACACCTGACTGTACTTGGTCAGCCACATCACACTAATGTGATTTACAAAATGTGTCAAGTACATCAGATTCAAACTTCGTAATGAATTCCTTTTTCCCCTATAACTGTCAATTTGTCGTCAAAAACATTTCTGCAAAAAAAAAAAAAAAAA